GGAAGTGGATGTACTAGAGCTTTTACAGAACCATGCTATTAAAGCATTATATGAACTCTTGTTATATGAACTCATGCATTGGGGACAGGGTCTGCTAATAATTATTGTCCTTCTACTCAGTTCTCTGGACCCAATCTTTTAATCATATTGAACTGCTAATCCCATAAATATATACTAAGTTAGATCCCAGCAGCTGTTTGCCCAGTTGAAGCCATCTGAAAGTTCTGTCTTGTTTGCTTGAAAATGCAACATGAAAAGATTTGCAGGCAAATAGCATTCAAAAAGAAAACGTTTAGAAAGATTTACAGGACCATGAGAAGAGACAGATACTTATCGTGGAGCAAGGAGAAGATCTCAGATTCAGTGTCCAATATCTCTGGACAATGATAGTAAATCTTTAGATTAAAACCTTTGAGAACCACAGAGTGTGAGTACTGAACAGGATATGCAGACACTTCTACTGGTATTCTCTATATTCCATATTTTAACTTGATTTTTACATTTCATATATGAAGAAAAATAAAATGCCTAGCACATTGTGTGTGTGTGTTTTAAAGTTACTATTATTTCTAAGAATAACTCTGGGCCAGAAATATACAGTCTTTGAAAATCAGTGGTGGATGCTACAGCCCAACCTTTTGTTTAGAAGTGTTTGCACCTGCTGTAAAAGCTGTAGTGACAAAAAGTATCCTTGGAGTCTAGAGGTAGCAAATAATGCTTTGTGAATGACACTGGACATTATGGCATTAATTTTATGAATAGGCAAGTCTTCCATAATGCTAGTCATTTGTTCTCAAAATGCAAAACAATGCTTATGGGTAGGATTTTGAGAAATGTGTTGCCAGTTGCAACAGCTCCCAAGATGATGTCATGTTGTCCTTTTATGGAAGGGAAATGGATGTGCATGGAAACATTTCAGGGACAGCATCCAGTAATCCTAGAATAACAAAGGGATGTGTCAGAGTTATGTAAAGTGTCTACCCCACATAGAATCTGCCTTAGAAGAAATACCTGAGAAGAGACTGAACAGCTGTTGAGAATGTATCTGGGAGTCCACAAGGGTTTGATACTCAAGAAAAACTGATGGATGTGACTCACCTTCCCATTTTTCACCCAAATCCAAGAACGTACACTCTCAGTGCAACAGCTGATTGGCACTAACCAGTGCACTTGGAAGGGCTGAATTATAAGATTGCATGAAAAGTGTAAGGGCTATGATATGGGTGAAGGGTAAGGGCTGAGCTCCATCAACAGTTAAATGCTAATCATGTCTGAGCATGCACTGACAGTATTGTCTAAGTCAAAAAAAAAAAAGGTCAGTTGGACTTCAAAACTGAGAATGGGAGATGCTGTTGCACCATAAAAAATAGACTGCAGTTACTTCATGTACATGAGGCTTCTAGCTTGCAAAAGTGCAGAGTTAAGCAGCCTAGTTACAGATGTTTGTTTGCTGTTCTGTTAATAAAATCATTAGTCCTTTACCTACCTGCATATTTTTA